TAAATGAGCAGTAGAATGACATGATGAGATCTTTTCTAGACAGAGATGACTGGAGGGCGTCAGGGCTGGAGACTCGGGGAGCAATGTGTGTTTCTTGTACAGTTGTAGGTGAGTGATGATAAGGCGGGAGGTGGAGGGCAAAGGGATTAATGTGAGCTGGATCTAGGACAGGGAAGAAGCAGGACTTGATAACTGATTAGGCTTAAGGAGCAAGGAGAGGGAGAAGGGGACCGATTTCCTGAGGTTTCTGGGTTGGGCGATGGATGATGGTTTGGGACATGTTGAGTTTAAGATACCTGAGAAACATTCAGATGGATGTCTAGAAGGCAGTTGAATGTATGTGTCTAGAGCTCAAAAGAAGTGTCTGTGTATATAACGGATTTGCAGGTGGATGTTTGTACAATCTCCCCATGCCTATTAGTTTTGCAAGTGAAAGAAATTGAGGCCAAGAGAAACAGACTGTTTGCAAGTTTTTCAACAAGAATGGGTTTGCCTCCACTGATCCACATTCCTTGCTGGAGTCAGGTGGGAATCCCAGTTCTCCAGGACTCTATCCACTGCCTCCAGAGCCTGCCCAGTAGCACAATTGGAAATAGTTGGCCCTAGGATAATTGCTCTGTTCTCTCACTTTATTCTTTCAGCGAGTGTGTTTTTGTTGAATCCCCTTGAAACTCAGCAGCCAGCTCTGCGTCTTAGCCAGAGGCTGAATTCTCTGTGCTAGCTCTTCTTGCTTGCTCTTCCTGAACCAAAATCTGGCTTAATCAAGGCTGCTCAGAGCTGAGCTTCTGAACTTAACTTGTTTGGTTAAGTACTCAGCTGCTATTTCTGATTGGGCCTTTCTCAACCAGCTGAGGGGATAAGGCGGCTTCTCTCATCCTCTCTGGTACACTTGACCAGAGCAAGTACTCTGTGACCTTGGGCAAATGACTTTGACACTCTGGTCTTCAGTTTCCCCTTTTGTACGGTGAAACCAATGGTCTCTCTTCAACATTGGAAGAGCTGATGGATATGATACACTTAAAAACATTGTTGTGGCCGGGCACGGTGGCTCACGCCTGTAATCCCAGCACTTTAGGAGGCCAAGGTGGGTGGATCATGAGGTCAGGAGCTCAAGACCAGCCTGGCCAACATAATGAAACCCCATCTCTACTAAAAATACAAAAAAAAAAAAAAAAAAAAAAAAATTAGCCAGGTGTAGTGGCAGGCGCCTGTAGTCCCAGCTACTTGGGAGGCTGAGGCAGGAGAATCACTTGAACCCGGGAGGCAGAGGTTGCAGTGAGCCGAGATCGTGCTACTGCACTCCAGCCTGGGTGACACAGCATTGTTGTAGAGCTCTTAGGTATTGTTTTTAAACAAGGAGTGCCTCGGTTTCAAAATGTTGCACATCTGGAAAAAGCATATTTTGTTAGCTTTGGTATCAGAAAAAAACAATTGGCTGTGGCAAATCCGTTCTGAGAGATTTCCTGAGTGCTGGTTTATCGTTCTGGTAGGAAGCAGGGAAAAATGGTGATAATGGGTGGAATAAGGCCAGAGAGTGAGGTGGCTGAGGGGTTGGGGTAGGGTGAGATCTGACCATTGGTGAAGTAGAGCAGAGGTGTGAGGTCAGGCAGCCAGTTATGGCCAAGAGTCATGACAGAACAAAGTTATTAGGAACTTAGGAAGATGACTTAGAAGTTCTGGCCAGGCCAGGTGTGATGGCTCACTCCTGTAATCCCAGCACTTTGGGAAGTTGAGGTGGGTGGATCACCTGAGGTTAGGAGTTTGAGACCAGCCTGGGCAAGATGGCGAAACCCCGTCTCTACTAAAAATACAAAAATTAGTCAGGCGTGGTGGTGCACGCCTGTAGTCCCAGCTACTCGGGAGGCTGAGGCAGGAGAATCACTTGAACCCGGGAGGCAGAGGTTGCAATGAGCCAAGATGGCGCCAGTGCACTCCAGCCTGGGTGACAGAGTGAGACACTGTCTCAAAAAAAAAGTTTTGGCCAAAGCTGAGGCAATTCAAAGGATAGCAGGCACAGCAGAATGGAAGCTGTTGTCAGTCACTCTGTTAAAAGAAAAACTTTAGACAAATTAAATTTAGCAGATTTATTTAAGGCATAGAAGGATTTATGTTCCGGCAGCCCTCAGAGCCAGGGGCAGTTCAGAGAGCTTCACCCAGCAACATGGGCAGGCAGCATTTATAAACAACAAAAGACAGTGAGTACAGCTACAGCTGGATTGGTTGCAGCTCCACAGTTGCCTGTTTGGGCATTTATATAGACATGGGCTGATCAGTTGGCAGCCTGGGATTGGCTGAAGCTTGGCTGCTGTGATTGGCTGAGACTCAGCTACTTGTTATAAGAGCATACTTTTAGATTGTAGTTTGTTTACATAGTTAGATTGCAGAAGAATAGGAACTCAAAGTATGGAGGCAGCCTCAAGCCCATTTTAGTTTACTGCTCTCCAATGCTGAAGGAGGTGTGGTAGCCCCAAACCAGGGTGAGCGGGGCTTCAGACACCATACCTTCAAAAGAGACCTCAGTCACCACAACTGTTGGTCAGCAAGGATAAAGGACATCTATTCATGGATGTTTTTGCTGTTGGGGTTATACAAAAAAGAGGAAACATAGCATTAAACTGAAGGGCAAAATCAGAAAATGCAACCAAAGGGAAGAGGGTGGATAATGAATAGGAAATTTAGAAAAGGGACATATTTATTTTTAATTAGGAAATTCAAAATTATAAGCCAGTTTAGATCAACTCACATTTATTTAAATTGGCATATGGTGCCGCAGCCTTGCAAGCTACCCTCAGGTTCTTCCAACTCCTCTAAGTAAAAAGGAAAAGCATTTGACCTCCACATCTAGGCCAGAGTGAATGAAGAGGGCCCTGGGGGAGCTCTGACCCCCATCCTCTGCAGTCCCTTGAAATAGGGTGGGTAAAGCCCTAAGCCCGAGGTGGGTACAAGGTGAGGCTCAGTAAGTGGCAGCTCTGTGAGGGGATTACCAGTGCCAGAAGCAATAGTATTGCTCAGGGGACTTTATTATTCTAAGGTGGAGATGTTGTGGTATTCTACCAGAGTCCCCACCTCTTTTCCATTTCTGACTGCTGCATCTGGTGCCACTCATCTTAGGGGTGTATATATGGTAAGTAACACTCAGCGGTGATGGTGTATAGGGAGCTGGAGCATCCCTCAGCTCCCCTCTGGTTCCCGTAGTGTGCAAGCCACTGCCTTCTTAGTTGTAGGGAAATGTTGTATCTATCAATAAAACAGGAGCTGAAGGTTGGGCACAGTGTCTCATGCCTGTAATCCCAGCACTTTCGGAGGGCAAAGTGGAGGATCACTTGAGGCTAGGAGTTCAAGACCAGCCTGGGCAACATAGCGAGACCCTGTCCCTACAAAAAAATTAATTAATAAGCAGTGAAATAAAACAGGAGCTGAGAGAGAATATTATCTGTGTAGTACTCAATGGCCTGGTTCAAGTTCCAGTCCTGCCATCCTGCTAACCTGCCTAGTTTGATACGTTACTGAATCTCTCAGTGCCATGTTTCCTCATCTGAAAAATGGCAGAAGTAGGATTGTTAGGATTGAAGTGAGAATGACCAATAGGCACAGTGCCTTCCATGTAGGATGCTCACCAAGAGGTGTGTAGAGTTGTTTTTGCTGTCATTATCAGTGATTATGGGGACTCAGAGGCTGCAGTTACGCACAGAAAGAAAGGCCAGTTTCCCGAAATGTAAAAGCATCACATTATTCATCATTGCCGGATGAGTAGAGGGAAATATAGCTGGACAGATGTGTGATCGAGCAGTCACAGTTTGTGGCCCCTGTAGAAGCTAGGTGGGGGGAATATGGGTGTTCACTCTGTAATTCTTTAAGCTGTTTTATATGTTAGTTGATGTTCACAATGAAACAGAGGGATGAAGGAATTCCACCTAGCAATGGGTCTTCAGAGCTGAAAAATCTATTTTGATACCAGTAACCTGAGTTCGGTAGGAATAAAAGAAGCCCAGCAGAAGCCTATGTGGTTCTACGGGACAGGAATCATTCACTTAACTGAGAAATGTGTGTGTGTGTGTGTGTGTGTGTGTGTGTGTGTGTGTATGCACGTGCATGTCTGTGCATGTACGTGTCTGTGTGCGTGTGTGTGTGTGTGTGAATGACAGTGTGTTAGTGGCAGGCATAGAAAAGTGGGATTAGGAGAAGGGAGGAACTCGGTGAGTAAGTACCCTTAATTTTTTTTTTCTGTGCCTCACCTCATTCCAAAAGGAATTTGTGGTAACTTGCAGAAATACCTTGATTTTAACAAGATAAAAATAAATGGAGGCTATAAATGAGCAATTGTTTATGCTCATACTGCATGTCATGTCATAATCTTCTGAACACAAACTTTGAAAGAAGTGAGTGCCAATGTGGCTGTGACACTAAGAGCCCATAGAATCCCAGGTTCCAATTTCACTTGGTCACTGATTTTCCTGGAGACCCAAGACAGTTGGGCCTCCCCCTTTCATTGATGATTTTAATATTCCAAATGCTTATGAAGAATAACCCAGAAAAATAATCCAGGTAGTGGACTTGGAGTAGCTGGCACTGCCTGGCTACAGGACAGAGGCACCACTCATGTCCTCGACTGCACCGTCTTGTGCGCAGCCATTGGGTCCTCCTGCACTCCCCTGTGTGTGGTCTTCCCCCTGTTCTTCCCTATCTTTCCTCCAACCCTTCTTCCCCAGGCGGCGTTCCACAGAATTTTTCTTTTAAAGCGCAAATGCAGCCATTTCAGTTAGAGAACTTCGCTATTTGGGCAAGATTCCTGAGCATTCGGGGCTCCCTGGGCCTGTCTGTAGAAATGTGTGTCTAAAAAGAGCACTCTTTAGAAAGGACAGTTGTTGATTAGGATGCCCGCTGTATTTCTTGTCCTCAGCAGGTAATGTGCTGTTTGAAAAATGTTAAAAGCACTAACTCTTATTCTTATCTTTATTTTTTCCCTTTTCTCTCTTTCTTTCAAAATTACCTGTTCGTAGTATATATTCTTCCAACTTCCATGCAGTGAAGAGGGAATCAGATGGGGCTCCTGGGGATCTCACTAGCTTGGAGAATGAGAGACAAATTTATAAAAGTGTCTTGGAAGGTGGCGACATCCCTCTTCAGGGCCTGAGTGGGCTCAAGCGACCATCCAGCTCGGCTTCCACTAAAGGTAATTAACTGGGTGAAGCCTGCAAGGCCTCCATCTCCCATCCACCTCCATTCACTGAGCGTCGGCCGTGGTGAACCTCCAGCAATGGGGATAAGTCATGCCTTGTTCAGACCCACATCCAGGCCTCAGAGCCCTCTTAAATTCCCTCCCCTATTTTCTTACCGGCCATTTTTCTTTCTGGTTTTAATAGTTTCTGTTCCTTTGACCCCCGCAACCTTGCTCTCCTTGAAGATCTCTCTCTCTCTCTTTCTCTCTCTCATTCTAATTACCTTTTCTTAGAAATTAGCTGAGCTTTAGCCATTCCTAACTCTAGCAGGGTAGGCATTTTTTGTTGTTGCATCCTTGCACCTGCTTTGCAGCACAGATTATTTTGCTTCCGGACATCGACTGGAAATTTTTTAAAAGCCCTTATGACAAATGAGCATGTTACCTTTCCTTTTTCTTTTTAGCAGCTTTCAGCTTTAACCTAATGGGTCTATTTATTTTATTCTGCATGCTTACCAGTGGATCGTAAAGGTGGGAATGCTCACATGATTTCTTCATCTTCAGTCCATAGCCGAACGTTTAACACTAGCAATGCGTTAGGCCCTGTGTGTAAGCACAAGAAGCCCCTGTCAGCTGCGAAAGCCTGCATTTCGGAAATCCTTCCTTCCAAATTCAAACCCAGGCTCTCGGCTCCCAGCACTCTTTTGCAGGAACAGAAGAGTATCCTCTTGCCCTCAGAGAAGGCTCAAAGCTGTGAGAACCTTTGTGTTTCCGGTTCTTTGAATGATTCCAAAAGAGGCCTCCCGCTCCAAGTGGGAGGGAGCATTGAGAACCTGCTCATGCGCTCCCGACGGGATTATGACAGCAAGTCGAGCAGTACCATGAGCCTCCAGGAGTACAGCACCAGCGGCAGGAGGCCCTGCCCTCTCTCAAGAAAGGCTGGGATGCAGTTCACCATGCTTTATCGGGACATGCACCAGATCAACCGAGCTGGCCTCTTCCTGGGCTCCATCTCCTCCTCCTCGAGTGTGCGGGATCTTGCCTCCCACTTTGAAAAGAGTAGCCTGGCATTGTCCAGGGGTGAGCTGGGCCCCAGCCAGGAGGGCTCGGAACACATCCCCAAGCACACCGTCTCTTCCCGCATCACCGCTTTTGAGCAGCTGATTCAGCGGTCCCGTTCCATGCCATCCCTGGACCTGTCCGGCAGGCTGAGCAAGTCTCCCACACCTGTGCTGTCCCGGGGCAACCTGACCTCAGCCCGCTCGGCCGAGTCCCTCCTTGAGTCAACCAAGCTCCGTCCCAAGGAGATGGATGGGATGAACTCCAGTGGGGTCTATGCCTCCCCAACATGTAGCAATATGGCGCACCATGCCTTGAGCTTCAGGGGCCTTGTGCCTTCTGAGCCCCTCTCCACCTGCTCTGATGACCTGGACCGCTGTTCAAATATCTCCACTGACAGCAGAGAAGGCAGTAGCAGCAGCGTTCACGGAGATTTCCCCAAACATCGCCTCAACAAGTGCAAGGGCACCTGCCCGGCCTCATACACTCGCTTCACCACCATCCGGAAGCATGAGCAGCAGCAGACCTCTAGACAGCCCGAGTGGCGCCTGGATTCCAGAGGGGACAAGAGCACCCTCCTCAGGAACATCTACCTAATGAGCCCCCTTCCTTTCCGGCTGAAAAAGCCCCTCCACCACCACCCCAGACAACCTTCTCCTGGTGACTCCTCAGGCCTCCTGGTAGGCCAGAAGCCAGACCTCCCCAGTCAGCCCCATCAGGACCAGCCCCCTTCTGGGGGGAAGCCCGTGGTTCCCACACGCCTGTCTTCCCGACACACGATGGCCAGGCTTAGCCGCAGCTCAGAGCCCTCTCAGGAGAGACCCACGGCCCTGGAGGACTACCCAAGGGCCATTAATAATGGAAACTCCGTGCCATACTCAGACCACAGCCTGGACAGGAACAACAACCCACAAAGTGAACTGGCACCATCCCGCGGAGGTGGCATTTTGTGTGTTTGCCTAGTCTCACCTGCCCGTCCCTCCACTTTGCTTGCATTATCCCTTCCTCCTCTGTGCCCTTGGTGCTCATTTTCTGGTCTGTCCTTTGTTTTCTGTTTGTTTTGCTTGGCAATTAATCATGGCTCATAGTGGCTGCACTTCTTTAAAAACAAAGCCCCCATGTCATTTAGACTAACCACCAAACTGTGTTTCGAAAGAAAAATTGGCCGTTTAGCTCAACTGAGAAATGTGTTCATTTGAACTCCTGAACCCCTTGCTGTTTGTACCAATCCCCAACATATCCCATGGTTTTTCGAGAGGCAGCCTCTCTCAATGGCCCTATATGTGTGTGAGTGTGTGCCTTGTCCCTATAAGGTCCTGCACGCCTCTTTGTTAGGGATACTTTACAAAGAAAGTTCTCTCATTTTGCTCACCTTTTGCCTTCTGAGTAGTTTTCTTTGCATTAAAGTAGTTCACAAATCCAAAAAATGGGGCAGGGGGTGGAATTTGTTTTTCCTTCAGAATTCGACCATTGATCATTGATCAAGAATGACTTTAAAATTTTGATATTTGTAATAGATGAAAGGTGAACTATTTTCCCAAGCTGGTTTCCAGTGAAATCTTTGCCTGTTTTAACTCTACTTTGTTGTTTTAAAGATTCAGAATCGCCAAGACATTTTATACCAGCGGATTACTTGGAATCCACAGAAGAATTTATTCGAAGACGTCATGATGATAAAGAGGTAAATCCCATCTTTTAAATTTCTTAGCTTTTGCTTGGAAAAATGTATGAAGAAAATAAAGATTCTAGACATCTGTCAGAGAGGTGGCATGGTCTAGCAACTGGAGGCAAAAATTGAAGCTTTCACAAACGATTTTTTTTTATATGACATTGAGCCTATGTCATATAAAAAAATCACTTGTGAAAGCTTCAATTTTTGTCGACTTTTTTTTTTTTTTTGGTCGACTTTTCCAAAAAGTAGGACTGATTTCCCCACAGGCACTAGGTTATAAATGCCAAGTCCAGCCAGCACTGCTGCATGGGAGATACAGAAAGAGATTGTCCACTGCTGTACTCAATGCCCTGTAAGCTGGAAACCAGAGTTTGCTCTTTCATCCCCCCTCAACCCCACCCTTGATAATCCCTAAGGAAATCCGCCTGCATATTTCTCCAATACTGCCCACCCCTCTCTTGGCACAAAGCATTGTTCAAATTGAGAAGGATGCAATAGGAGAAAGAGGAAAATGAAAAATAGTAATGACCTTGATACATTTTATGAAACAATTTGAGGAAGTTGCCTATAACTCTGTTGCCTTCAATTCAGAAGAAGGCAGATACACCAAGAAATGCTGGAAAACCCCAGCCAAGAACTTCAAAATGTGGATATTTTCTTGTAGCTACTGAAATGCCTGTCCTGCCATGGGGTGACTGGCAGGGCCTGGGAAAGAGCCCCTTCTCTCGGGGATTTGGGAAGAGGTGGTTCTTTGTATCAGTCAAATGGACAAATCACAAGCTTCTGCTGGGATAAAGCATTGTGATGATACATGTTTTCTGGGCCTCACATCCCCAAGAAAAAGAGTCCTAGAGATTAAACAAGCTCCCGAGCCCATATTCCTGAAATGAATTAAGAGATGGAAAAATCACATTGACCTGGTAGGCGTGGGGGAGGGAGTGCATGTGTACACAACTTTGTCCCATTCACGTTCAAGTCTGAAGCCCTTTTTCTCTGTTGTTCTGCCTTGTTGAGTAGTTCCAGAGTTTAGGTGGGGTTTCCTGAAGGATTTAGGATAAGACTGACTTGGGGACAAGTGGGATGATGGTAATTATTGCCACCAGATGGTGAACAAAAGACAAAAATAAAAGCACCATGGCCAGGCGCGGTGGCTCATGCCTGTAATCCCAGCACTTTGGGAGGCCAAGGCAGGTGGATCACTTGGGCAGGAGTTTGAGACCATCCTGGCTAAAACGGTGAAACCCCATCTCCACTAAAAAAATACAAAAAAATTAGCCGGGCGTGGTGGCGGGCGCCTGTAATCCTAGCTACTCGGGAGGCTGAGGCAGGAGAATCACTTGAATCCAGGAGGTGCAGGTTGCAGTGAGCTGAGATCGCGCCACTGCGCACCAGCCCAGGCGACAGTGCGAGACTCCGTCTCAACAAAAAAAAAAAAAAAGAAAGAAAGTTAAACCGCTGTACCTCTCCCCATCTCCAGGCACAATTGAAGTTTCAATAAGAAACTTGCACCTGTCCATGGAAAGAAACAAGAGAAAGCATCTGATGTACAGTTTTTATTGTAATAACTCACTAATGATGAGTATCCATCAGGCCATAGAGCAGATTCATTTCTATAGCTCTTTGTTAAATATTTCCTGCCACAAGATACAAGATTCCCATGTATGTAGGCCGGGGCTGCTATGATGAAGGAAGATGAAATTCCATGTTAGTAATATAAGCCCTAGTCTCTGACCTAGAAGGTTCTATGGGACAATTCTTGCCTACCACGTGGGAGATGTAGTTTATCTAGTGGCTTAGCAATGGATGTATTAGAAGTTACATAAGAAGGCGAGCAGTTGTCTCCTGAATAACACTGGCTCATAGATCCTTAAAAGTTTTGTGTCTTTACCCATGGTTTTTGGCTTATATGGTTAAACTACAGTGCTGAGGGACTTACTAAGGTCAGATTAAAGTACTGGATTGGGAGCTTTGCCCCATTTGTTGTCCACTTCCACTGATTATGTTTAACTCCAGCCAGAACACAAGGGGCCGTGAGTAAGAACTGTGGCAGTCTCAAGCATCACTCCATTCCCATGGCTACAGAAGCAGCTCACACTTCCCAGCTCATGGGATGTCAGTCAGGCCCTCCCCATTGCAAATGCTTTATCATTAACATGGATTTTCAGAAAATGAGAACATATCAGACCTGGCAGGAACATTAGTGGTCATGTAGCCAAGCCCCTGGTTTAGTCCAGGAAAGGACCACAGCAAAGTAGTAGCTTGCCCAGGGCTGCATAGTAAGTTAACCTATACCAATAGCAGAGCTAGAAACCAGGGCTCCAGTTGCCTGGACCGGCACTCTTTCTATAGCACTGGGCTTCTCAGAGGACTTTCTCATGTCTTTTCTCATTTATCTTTACAACTTACTTGAGTACTGAAAATCCCACAGCCATTTGATGAGTTGTCGCTTTGTTATTTGTAGTCTCTGGAGAAAACTCGGCCCACCCTCCTTTGGGGTTGCATGTCACATGAGGCATTTAATTGCCTGCTGGAAGAAGCCTACTGTTTTGCAATGCTAAGAATCAGTTCTAATTCTTGCTTTCCTACAAGGAAAGTTAATCCCAGGAAAGTAAGGTTGTCTAGTATCAGAAAACACATTAAAATTCTGTTCCATGGGGTCATTGTAATAGGCATTGAGGGCATTTGGTAAAAAGCAACATTGTTTGATTTTTCAAAGAAGCCTTTAAAAATAGAAATAGATGACTTTTTCCTTACTCTAAGAGAGAATATTTCTTCTAATCCCAGGTACCATTATTCTTAGTTTTTTTTTTTTATATTTATATTCTTTGTCATTCCCTTTAACTCAGCTTCATTTCACCCAGTGAAGAAATCATTCAGTAAGAAAGCAACTGATGCTCTCTGTCGGCCACATAATTAGCCTTTGGTGTATATCCTAAGGCCTTCTAAAAATTGTGCCTAGGGGAAGACTTGGCTGTCTAGAAGGGGCTTCATCTTTTCTGAAATGGGCTGCTCCACTCTGTCAAGAGCATATTAGAGTAATAGATACAGGAATCACAAAAATGACCTGGTGCCATAGACTTCACTAGCAAAAGCCTGTAGCAAGTTTAATAGGCCTGAGATGGGCAGCAGGAATTGGCCAGCCCTGGTCCTGCCAGGGGAATATGCTGTGGGAATATATCCTTGCCTAAAAACATGGTAGAGATGGCACTTCCAGCCTCCCGCTGCCAGCCCAGCATGGTTGGGAATGCCCTGGATGGGAATGCCCCTGGCTCACCTGGCCTTTTGCTGCCAGGAGCAGGAGGCTTTGGACTGCGCCGGGGGTAGGTAGTTTGCCGGACAGTGTAATCATGTGGAATCATCCTTCCCCTATCCCGGCTTTCCCAGTGAAGTGCTGCCTCCTTTCTACAGTGCTCGGAGGGTGGTTACGATGGGAGTGTAGTAGTTGTGGCTCTAAGGCCCTTCTGACAGCTGACCCTTAAAGCCTCTGCCCCGTTCACCCAGCACCTCCTTCCCTAATTACTTTTGTTGGCAGTTTTCTAATATGCTGGAACAGATGATTCACTGCCCATTTTATGCAATTTTATGGCAGAAACTTTTAGCGGACCAGAGACGACTTAAGCGCGAGCAAGAAGAGGCTGATATTGCAGCTCGACGCCACACAGGCGTCATTCCGACGCACCATCAGTTTATCACTAATGAGCGCTTTGGGGACCTCCTCAATATAGACGATACCGCCAAAAGGAAATCTGGGTCAGAGGTCTGTTTTGGTCACCTCAATCTGCTGCTTGACCCAAAGCAATATTTGCCTATTTGCCTCCCCTCAGCATTGCCCTCTGTAGGCCAATTTAGGTCTCCAAACAGCATTTGTCATCCTGGCCTCCCTTAGGCTTGCTTTGGCTTCTTGTGGCTGGTAAATAGACATGACCTCATTATGTCCTGTGCTCTGTATGTTCAAGCATGCCTGGCTGGGGGACCGGGGTCTGCTGGCACATGCCCCTGTTGCATGCCTTAGAGCATTGGCTGCCTTCGTGAGTCCAGCCCTCCACATGCTGCATTTTATCATGCTACTGTGTTGCCTGTGCGTTCTGCTTAGAAACCTGATACCTGAGTCCATATGCATTGGTAGCTATGGTGTGGACAGTTACACAATTCTTCTTTGAAGAGATGGTTAATGAAACTTTACCAAGTTAGCTTAACAATACTTTGTACCATTTACAAAGGCCTCCAAATTTAGTGCCATTAATTTTGAAATAGAGAACAATGCTGCTGCTCACATGTGGGTGGATGAACTGTGTGAAGCGTTCAGTAGTGCTGCAGTAGTGCGCCTCACTGAAGAATTTTGAAGCCCAAAGACTTTCGCAGTTAGGATAAACCCACAGAGGGTAAGAGAGTTCTCCAAGGGACGTTTCATTTGTTCTTTTAGTTTTGACATTTGCAAGCCTAGGTTATGAAAGCTTAATATTGTAAAAGGAAAGAGAAGAACAAACTTTGAAGTGATTTTTATCCAGATCGTGGCCTCCTACACTAAGGTCAACATGTTGAAATTCTCATGCTAGCCAAATGCTGGATCTTACGTAAGAGTTTATGCTTTACCATGTAACCCTTAAGTAGCCCCACTGAAGATGATCTCTTTTAGGGAAAATGGGCGTATCTGGGATTTGGGGTGGTAGCTAGGGAAATGGGGGAATAACACCCAAAGTATGTACTGTTTTATATCCTTTCAATACAGTAGCTTAATATTTATGTTTATTTATTTATTTTTTAATTTTTATTTTTCTCTCTAGAAGCATCATTGCCTATTCACTTTTGTTTTGTTTTGTTTTTTTAAGAAATATGACTGGGCATAGTGACCTACACCTGTAATCCCAGTACTTTGGGAAGTCAGGGTGGGAGAATTGCTTGAGCCCAGGAGTTCGAGACCAGCTTGGGCAACATAGTGAGACCTCCATCTCTAATTAATTAAGTAGATAGATAGATTGGTAGATAGCCAGACATGATGGCACATGTCTGTAGTCCAAACTACTGGGGAGGCTGAGGCAAGAGGGTTGCTTGAGCCTGGGAGGTCAAGGCAGTGAGTCATGGTCCTGCCACTGCACTCCAGCCTGAGCAACAGAGGAAGACTCTGTCTCAAAAAAAAAAAAAAAAAAAAAAAAAAAAAAAAGGTGTCTGGGAAGAAGAGATAGTGAAAAGAGGGAACCAAATTAAAAGAAAGAAGGCTAGCTGGGTTTAGTGGCTCAAGTCTATAGTCCCAGCACTATAAGAAGCTGAGCCAGGGGGATCACTCACGGCCAGGAGTTCGAAACTAGCCTACACATCATAGGGAGACCTCATCTTTACAATTAAAAATATGTGTGTATATATATAATATACATATTATAATATATATAATATTATATTTTATGTATATATAAAATATATAGAAAAATTAGCCAGGCTTGGTGGTACATGCCTATAGTCACAGCCACTTGGGAGGCTGAGGTGGGAGGATCACTTGACCCCAAAAGTTCAAGACTGCAATGAGCTATGAACACATCCCTCCAACCTGGGTGGCAGAGTAAGATCCTGTCTCAAATTAAAAGAAATTTGAGCCTGTCTCAAATTAAAAGAAAAAGGAAAGCTGGGGAAGAGAAGGAGACTCTAAAGTGATGGAGAAAAAGAAAATCTATCAAGGAAGAAGCAAAAGTTAGCGAGTGTTAATTGCAAGGGAAAGATAGCCCTTGAGCCCTCAACGTTCCAGCTCCTCCTCAAAATGACCCTTCTCAGAAGGCTCTGAGCATGGTTTGTCCTCACCGACAGTCCTGCCTGCTTGTAGGTAGAAGAAGATGGGAACAGGTAAAGGCGCTAGGGCTGTACACTTACACATGTACTTGATACATGCAAACAGAAATGCACCATGGGTGGAATAACCGTGGACAGAGGCAGGCAAACTCTGCTTAGTGAGCCTGCCTCCCTTCTAGAGCAAACTCTGACAAGTGCGTTAGCATCCCTCGGAGGGCTTGGTAAAATACAAACCCTGGATCCTATCTGCACAGTTTCTGATTCTGCGGTGGGGCCTGAAAATTTACATTTTTTAACAGTTTCCCAGGTGATATTGGTGATACCAGTTTAGAGACCACATTTTGAGAATTACTGCCCTAGAAGTTGACTGATGGACTTGAAAAAGTAGAGACCAACACATCCCAGGTGCACCACACTGTGTCAAGGCACTTCAGTCCCATTCAGTAGGACTGGGGTGCCCACTGGTTCTGTGTAAGACCCTATGGGAGGCAGAAAGAACTCTGTCTGTGTGCCCTTGGGGAGCTGATAGTGGAAGAGTCTCCCTCTTACACAGTTACCTCTGTCCTATAGTAAGTGATACAATGCTATGAAAGCCAGAGGAGGGAAAGATGGATTCAGTCTTGGAGCTACAGGGAGATAAAGAGGGAGAGGATGCTGCTTTGTATAACCACCGATGACTCACATACACGTCTCAAGAGTTCAATGGAATCAGTGAATTTTAACAGGCCTTCAGTGAAAAAAATCTCACCACACCCCATTATTAACCTAAGTCCACTTACAAATTAATCATAAACTACAAACCTATATAATTTTATTGACTTAATTGATAGGAGATACTGTTTTGACAGAACTCAGTTACCAGAGTGTGAATGTGGTGCTGCTTTGGTATACATTTTTTAAAGTTCACACAGCTCTACAGCTGGGTGACATGAGGTAACCTACTTCCTTGTGTTTTTCTATTGGAATCACTGTAAAATTCTTATCCTTATAATTTTGGTCATTTAGTTTCCTCTTGTAAACTTGTCATTTATCATTAACCCCACATCCGTTCTTTTCTTGTTCACCTGCAACTGTGAAATTATGCCCTTTGGTTACAGACACAAACACAGGTATTGAAATTGTGTGGCTTTAACTTGATTATAAGGTGATCATTCACTTGGCCCCAGTATGTATGGTATAGATAGGTAGATAGATGAAAACATCAATGTGAAAATGCAAACTTTAAAAATACCTGCGGAAGGCTAGGCACAGTGGCTCACACCTGTAATCCCAGCACTTTGGGAGGCCAAGGCAGGAGGACTGCTTGAACCCAGGAATCTGAGACCAGCTTGGGCAACATCGTGGACCCTATCTGGACAAAAATTACCCAGGCTTGGTGGTGCGTGCCTATAGTCCAGGCTACTCAGGAGGCTGAGGTGGTAGGATCATCTGAGCCTGGGGAGTCAAGACTGCAGTGAGCCATGATTGTGCCACTGCACTCCAGCCTGGGCAACATGGCAAGACGCTGTCTCAAAAAAAAGAAAGAAATTCCACAGCCAGGCGTAGTGGCTCATGCTTGTAATCCCAGTACTTTGGGAGGCCAAAGTGGGCAGATCACTTGAGGCCAGGAGTTAGAGACCTCCCTGGCCAACATGGCGAAACCCAGTCTCTACTGAGAAATACAAGTTAGCCAGACATGGTGGCACATGCTTGTAGTCCCAGCTACTCAGGAGGCTGAGGCAGAAGAATTGCTTGAACCTGGGAGGCAGAGGTTGCAGTGAGCTGAGACCGTGCCACTGTACTCCAGCCTGGGAGACAGAGCAAGACCCTGTCTCAAAAAGAAAAGAAAAAAGAAACTTCAGAAAGAGGAGGGGATAGGAGGGGGTTCAGTTGAGGTGTAGCAAATAGATTTGACTGGAACAGGAACAGTGTAGTAGAGATAAAGGCAATTCGGTAAGAGTAGGGAGAAACTACCCAGAGGCCTTCACCTATGGCAGGAATTGAGATTTGAACTGAGGGAAAGTTGAGAGCAGCAGCCAACTTCAAAGCAAGGAAGAGATGTGAGGAAGAATGTTAGGAATGTTATTTGTGCTCCCGGGTGACAGATTAGAGTGAAGAGAATGTGAAATCAAAGGAAGCTTTGTGTCAGTGGAAACTAGGCATCAGCTTTGAGCAACAGGGTTGCGGAGGGATGGAAGTGTGGAGGGAGGTCCCTCCTGAGTTAATGACACACTTGATCAGGAAGTGGAGAAGGGGCGGAGGCTGACTCAGACCTGGGCATCTGGGAAGAGAGGACTACCCAACAGGATTGGAAGTCTTAGCAGGAGTCATTTGAGCTCAGGGACCACTTTATCTGACTTTTTGGATGATGTCACAGACCGTAAGAAATATATGGAGTTGGAGATGATGCGAGAAGTGAGTCGGCGTTTCATCTACTTGCATATCATAATTTAAGCAAATAGATGTCCCTAAGGAATAAGACAGTAGATAAGGAACATCTTAGGACTTCTGGCTGACTTTGTCTTTTGTTTGTTTGTTTTTTTTAATAGCCATGGTCTGTATGTTTTGAGGAACTAGTACCTCAGCTTTGGGACCTTTCTAACCATCTCTTCCCCAGATCTGGTTGTTTTTAGGGGGTTCTCATGCATGACATACATAGTTAACTAAACATTTATCTAGTATTCTACTAAGGTCAGACAAATGCAATTTTGCCCAGATTTCTACACTAGAACAAACTGGCTAGAGTGAATTTCTCTGCTTTGCTTTCTAGAAATTTGTGAAAATGTGTCCTTGTTGTACCTGAATCCTGATTTTAACTTGTCATTGTTTCTTATGTTCAGATGAGACCTGCCAGAGCCAAATTTGACTTTAAAGCTCAGACACTAAAGTAAGTGCCACCAGTTATATTTATTTATCTTTTTAGCTGCCTCTTTGAAACACAACAGTTTGTTTGTAGAGAAGAGTTGGAGAAATAACAATTATAAAAATTGTTGTTTTAAAAAAAAGAACAAAACAGTAGTTCATAGAGTTTGCTATGTGCCAAACACTATTCAGAGTACTTTGCATATGTTAACTCATTATGGAGTGGGTGCTGTGATGATCCCCACTGTTCAAATGAAAAGACCAAGGGACTATAAGGTTAAGGAACCTGCTCAAGCTGGTGTGAGAGAGTTGGAATTCAAACCTAAGCAGAGGTTGGGCTCTTATACCCTGTCCCACCCTGCCTCCTCCTATGTAGGGGCTCTATTTGCTTAAGTGGTGGCTTGATCTGACCCATCTTTTCTGTGGAAGGATCTAGACCAGTCTCTAGGGAGATAACTTTACCCATTTTGCTACAACATCCCAAGAGATAAAAGGCTTGCATGAACCCACAGGAGACTAGCGTTTCTCTAAGTGTGTTCCTCAGAGTGCTAGCCCTATAAGATTTTTCTCAAAAAGGGAGTTCTGTTGTAGAATGAGTTGGGAAACACTGCATGGTATATCTATACCTCCCACCCACTTTGAAGAAATACTTTGTTGATGGCATGTTAATAGCTCCAGAAGTCTTTCAAGAAAGGAACCTGAAACACGATTTGGGAAATGCTACCAAAGACTGGGTTCCATAAGGAAACAGCTGGCTTTTTATCTAATTATGGATTTAAATAGTCCATGAGTTCTCATTGGCAGCTAAAAGTACAATGGACAGTGGCCACCCCATTGTCCTGCAGATGGACGGTCATGCATCTGGTGATCAGAGGGAGAGCTCCCTGTCCTTAGATGCTGGGAAATGCTATGTGGAGCTAACCAACCATGGTTCTGATCTCCTCTATCCCACAAAATGAGTGACCAGGCCACAGTGTCTAGAACCTAGGCACAAATCTGGTATAGTTGGGTTTGTGTGTATTACTCCAGTCCTTTAGTTGGTCAGCTAAAGGAGGTGGCTGTGTACTATACTGCAAAGATTGTGGGCTTTAGAGTCAGGAAGTCCTGTGTTCAAATCCTGACTATGCCACTTACTATCTCTGTGAGTGTAGTCAAGTTATCAACTTCTCCCCCACTCAATTTTCTTTATCTGCAAGATACGGGTAAAAATGCCTCTCTTTCAGGGAAGCTGGGGTAATACCTGTAAAACATTTTGCGTAGTGTACCAAAATTTAGTGCTCAAAATATGTTATCCTCTTACCCCCCTTTTTTTAAACCAGACAAGATAACAGAGATATATAAATTAATTTGCAATTTAATTAATACACTTTTTCTTTGAATTGAGAAAGGTCTATGTAAGATTTATTAAATGGTATAGTGATGATAATAGTACATTTTCCCAGATTTCATAAAGAGTCTTAAAACAACTTTTTTTTAGAGCAACCCCGTCAAATAGAACAGGTGAGAAAGCTTAGATCCACAGAAATTGTCACCTTTTATCAACATTGCTAATGCCGGAGAGAGGTTTCCTTCCTTCTGATTCTGTGTTTTCATCACGACATGCTGCCTCCAAAAAAATGTCCACAAAATTTAGTGAAAAAAGTAAATTCTAGCTCCATGGTCTTTTAAGCCCTTCAGTCACTTGGTTTTACATTTCCCCACAGTCAGTTACTCAAAAAAGCATGCTGCCGGGGCCAGGCGTAGTGGCTCATGCCTGTAATCCCAGCACTTTGGGAGGCCAAGGCTGGCAGATCACTTGAGGTCAGGAATTCAAGACCAGCCTGACCAACATGACGAAACCTTGTCTCTACCAAAAAATACAAAAATTAGTTGGGCGTGGTGGCAAGTACCTGTAATTCCAGCTACTCAAGAGTCTAAGGCGTGAGAATTGCTTGAACCCAGGAGGTGGAGGTTGGAGTAAGCTAAGATCACACCACTGCATTCCAGCCTGGGGAACAGAGTAAGACTCCATCTAAAAAATAATAAAAAAATTAAAAAAATGGAAGCATGTTATGGAATACTTGGTTCAACAAAGTTAAACAAGTTTCTTTCCCCTGGGTCTTCTCAGAGCCTCTGCTGTGCTGATGTACACCGTGATGCTCCAAAAAAGATCTAAAGCGAATCATATTTCTCAAACCCTCTTACCAGCAGACCTGGACGCGTGGTTCTTTGGGAGCTAGGGGTATAGTCCACAGTAGTGGCAGAATAGGGCCCCAGGTTTCCCATGGTAGACTTCCATCAGCCACAACTACTGACCCCTCAGTTCCTCTCTCACACACAAGTGTATCCTTTGCTTAACAGTAGGACCATTACGCTCCCACCCCCCTCCACAGCTGCGAGATACTTAGTATAGTAGAGTCAGGAGCCTGCAGGTCTCCACAGCAGTGAATATGCTGAGGGTCTTGCTCATCTATATGCCTGTGGTTGGGGGTGAAGGGAGAGGGAATTCATAATGCCCCCCAAAGAGGGCTGTGGCAAAAATGCAGCCTGAGACATTCCTTCTCACAGAGACAAATGCCCACATCCCCTTTACAGACCTCTTGAGGGTTAGAATCCTGTCTGCTAATGTGAGACCCACAAAGGCTGCCTTGTGCTTTTATTCAGCACAGAACTGACTTTCTATAGTTTTCCAGATGTGCCCTCATTGTTCGGCCAGCACCCTTCACATACCGTGGGACTTCCTGGCATCCTGCAAAATGAGCACACCCCTTCCAAGTTACAATTGGAGAGCTTTCCATCCTATCGGTTTGACACAAATGAAAAAGATCTAGGTCATTTTTTTTTAATTCAAGAAAATGTTACAATTTTAAAATTATTTAATTCAAGAAAAAGTTGTAAGGGCCAGGCGCGGTAGCTCACGCCTGTAATCCCAGCACTTTGGGAGGCCGAGGCAGGCGGATCACCTCGGGTTGGGAGTTCGAGACCAGCCTGACCAACTTGGAAAAACCCCGTCTCTACTAAAAATACAAAATTAACTGGGCCTGGTGGCCCATGTCTGTAATCCCAGCTACTGGGGAGGCTGAGGCAGGAGAATAGCTTGAACCCGGGAGGCGGAGGTTGCGGTGAGCCGAGATCATGCCATTGCACTCTAGCCTGGGCAACAAGAGCAAAACTCTTGTCTCAAAAAAAAAAAAAAAAAAAGTTCTAATTTTTATCCTTAAGTTTTCATTTTGTTTAAAATTTGCCTTTGTCTAATTTTTTTTTAAAAAGAGTCCTGGTTAAAAATTAACATAATCTGGGCCAGGCACGGTGGCTCATGCCTGTAATCCCAGCACTTTGGGAGGTCAAGGCAAGTGGATCATGAGGTCAGGAGTTCAAGACCAGCCTGATCAACATGGTGAAACCCCATCTCTACAAAAAAAAAAATTAGTCGGGCATGGTGGTATGTGCCTGTAGTCCCAGCTGCTCGGGAAGCTAAGGCAGGAGAATTGCTTGAACCTGGGAGGTGGAGGTTGCAGTGAGCTGAGATTGCACCACTGCACTCCAACCTGGTGACAGAGTGAGACACTGTCTCAAAAAAATAAATAAATAATAATAATAATATCATCATTATTAAGGCAAACAAAAGAATGGATATGGAAAAGTTGCAAAGGGGCACAAAGAGCATTTGAAGGAAAATCTACTTTTCTTTCCAACATCACTTTTCCATGTTAAAAAGCAAAGGAATTAGGCCGGGCGTGGTGACTACATGCCTGTAATCTCAGCATTTTGGGGGAGACTGAGGCAGGAGGATCACTTGAGCCCAGGAGTTCAAGACCAGCCTGGGCAGCATGGCAAAACCCCATCTCTACGAAAATATATATGTAACAATTGGCGAGGCATGGTGGTGCATGCCTGTAGTCCCAGCTACTCAGGAGGCTGAAGTAGGAGGATCACTTGCGCCCAGGAGGTTGAGGCTGCAATGAGCCGTGATCATGACACTTGCACTCCAGCCTGGGCAGCAGAATGAGACCTTGTCTCATGAAAAAAAGTAATGGAATTAACATTTATTGAGTGTTACCTACCTGTACAACAGGCACTATCCTAGCTGTTTATTTTTAGTGTGTTGAAGCATTCTCCAGCAACTCTGAGTTAGCTCCAAGTTCAGCTAAAGAAACAGTGTCTCAGATTAAGTATTGTGTCCATGGTCCCAGAGCTACTAAATTTCAGAACTGGGTTTTGGACCAGATCTGCCTAACTTCAGAACCTTTCTACTGCATGATGATACAAAGATGGATGGTAAAATGGATGGGTGGACAAATGGTGAAATTGATGGAATGATAGAAGGATGTCAATATATCACAAATAATTTGAGAGCAATTTAAAGCAACGAAGGCATGTCCTGCTAGGGCGTAGAAGAGGATAGTGAAGGTATCCAGAAGGAGACGTTTTTCTTTGTTTAACAAACATCAGTTAAGGCAGCTGAGTGCATTGCTGTGTGTTGCATAAATATTCTGAGCATAAGACAGCATTCACAAAAAATGCATTTGGAAAACCACAACAAATTAATAAGGCCTCTGAGCACTTTCAAGGGCTAGTCAATTTGAATGTTAACATCCATCCTGCAAAAGACTGGAAAAATGCCAAATGTGATGTAATTTCCTGAATAGTGGGGTTCTTACTTCCAAATATGGAGTCCCCTCTCTGGAATTTGTACCCTTTGACCCCATTTAAAAGTCTTCTTTTGCTACAAAACTGAAGTATCTTAATCTTACATATATTGAAACATCTGCTAAAATGCCGTTGACCCTCTGTCGACAGGGAGCTTCCTCTGCAGAAGGGAGATATTGTTTACATTTATAAGCAAATTGATCAGAACTGGTATGAAGGAGAACACCACGGCCGGGTGGGAATCTTCCCACGCACCTATATTGAGGTACCGCAGCCCCTTTTCTTTCTAAGGAAAAGCCTGACCGTGCCCAAAGCACCATTTATTTACTAAATGCTTATGTTTTGTTTCCTCCTTTTCCTCTTGTTTCCCTGCTTTCTTCTCTTCCCTTGTTCTCTTTTACCTGTTTCCCTTTCTCAGCTTCTTCCTCCTGCTGAGAAGGCTCAGCCCAAAAAGTTGACACCAGTGCAGGTTTTGGAATATGGAGAAGCTATTGCTAAGTTTAACTTTAATGGTGATACACAAGTAGAAATGTCCTTCAGAAAGGTAAGCTGCCCTTCTCATGCCTTGCTTTGGGGCTGTCTTGGATGGTGCAGCTATGTGGGGAAGTGTGGTGTTGCTATCACATCCCAGTCTGGGGGTGCTGTCTGTACCCTTAAGAGAAGTATGCCGATCAATAATTGCATTAAGGGCTGGGCACGGTAGCTCACACCTGTAATCCCAGCACTTTGGGAGGCCGAGGTGGTTAGATCACTTGAGGTCAGTTTGAGACTAGCCTGGCCAACATGGTGAAGCCCCGTCTCTACTAAAAATACAAAAATTAGCTGGGCATGGTAGTGGGTTCCTGTAATCCCAGCTACTCAGGAGGCTGAGGCAGGAGAATCATTTGAACCTGGGAGACAGAGGTTGCGGTGAGCTGAGATCACTCCACTGCACTCCAACCTGGGCAGTAGGGTGAGACTCTATCTCAAAAAAAAAAAAAAAAAAAAAAAAAGAATTGCATTAAGGCCTATAATCCCAGCACTTTGGGAAACCAAGACAGGAGGCTCACTTAAGGCCAGGGGTTCAAGACCAGCCTGAGCAACATAGCAAGACCCCGTCTCTATTGAAGAAAAAAAATAAAAGAATTGCATTAAGGGCAATTGGAGAATTTTCTGAGGTAAGGTATTTTTAAAATAAACCCTAGGCTAATGTCAGGGTTTAACTGTATTGAGCTCACTGATTAAAGATAGTATTTCTGGAGTCTTAGACATCTTTTATAAGCTGTTTTCAACCAACACTTACCAACTAATGATATGATAATGCACTGTGTTGGGGACTGGGTTTTACAATATATTGGTGTGACCTAGTGGAAGAAACAGGTGCATTGATACCAGGAGAAGTTTGAAAAGCTTTGAACCCAAAAGGCACAAACCAGCTGTGCAGAATGTGGGAGTTAAATACTTTTTCCAAGCGACCATTTTCTTATAGAAAAAAATGAAGATAGATGGCTCTCCCCTAGGTGGTTGTAAGAAACTTAGGTGAAACAGCTTATGTGAAGCCCCCAGCATGACACATAGTATCTGGTTTGTGCTTAGTAAACAGGAGATGCCAGTATCATTATCATCACCATCATGCTTATTCAGACACAATTACACTGTGCAGAGAAGTTCTTCTTTCCAGAATCCAAACACTCTACATGGCAAAATTCTCTGGCTTGCTAAAGTTACTAAGTTACTGATTTTATTGAGGATTGAGGGAAGTGAGCGCATGGGTTAGAAAAAGATGAGCCATCTTATATAACACTGGAAGCAACCCAATTTGCCCTACAGCAGGGGATCAGTAATTAAATCATTATATGTGTGTGCAACAGAATACCCTGCAGTCATCCATTAAGCTGTGCAATGCCATTAAAAATCTAGAATTCTATTTTTTGATAAAGAAGGAGGTTTACTATGTACTATTAAGTATTTTTTAAAAAGCAAGTTGGAAAAGTATGGAAATACAGTTCATACTCAATTTTTATAAGAAAAAATATGTGAGGTTTAATTCACATGCGTAGCAGTGAATCTGGAAAGTCTATATGCCAAATATTAATAGTGTTTATCCCCAAATGACTATGTGATGGGTGATGATTGTCTTCTGCTTTATGTTTGTGTTCTGATTTTTCTATAATGATACATTGTAAGTATTTATAATGCTACAAAAGAAAGAAAAAGAGAAACCCCCCAAAATCTTTGCCTTAGAGATGAAGATTGGATATCTGTTTCACATTAAATGAGTCAAAAACACTACATTTGTTCCCTGGCTTAGGAGCACAAATCTGATGTTCTCCTTTACTAAAATACTTATGAAGAACCAAGGTAAACTTCCCAGCATCAAGGTAGCTCCTCTGCCATTAGCATCCTCATCCCAGTGGTGGTAATTCCCTCCAGGTTCAGCAGGGAATGTTTTTCCTGAGCTAAGAATGTGGTAAACAATGCAGGACATTGAAGCATGCAGGCAGAGGCCCCAGGCATGCAGAGGCATGCTAGGACAAGGACCCTCTCTTTGCTGTGTCTTCCAGGGTGAGAGGATAACACTGCTCCGGCAGGTAGATGAGAACTGGTACGAAGGGAGGATCCCGGGGACATCCCGACAAGGCATCTTCCCCATCACCTACGTGGATGTGATCAAGCGGCCACTGGTGAAAAACCCTGTGGATTACATGGACCTGCCTTTCTCCGCCTCCCCAAGTCGCAGTGCCACTGCAAGCCCTCAGGTATCTAAGCTTCTCGTCACTGGTTTTCATACTCAGCATGTGAGTTTTCTTAGTCAACAGTGCTGTTGGCACACAGCCTCTCTGGGGAGATTTTTGAGCCCTGCAATTAAAAACTGTCTGCAGGAGGCCAGGTGTGGTGGCTCACGCCTGTAATCCCAGCACTTTGGGAGGCTGAGGTGGGTGAATCACCTGAAGTCAGGAGTTCGAGATCAGCCTGGCCAACATGGTGAAACCCTGTTTCTACTAAAAATTCAAAAATCAAAAAAAGATGGCGGGCGCCTGTAGTCCCAGCTACTCGGGAGGCTGAAGCAGGAGAATTGCTTGAACACGGAAGGCGGAGGTTGCAATGAGCTGAGATCACGCCACTGCACTCCAGCCTGGGTGACAGAGCGAGACTCTGTCTCAAAAAAAAAAAAAAACAAAAATCAAAAACTGCAGGAAAGCAGACTGTACACTGGACTTTGTCTTCATGCATACAAATGGCCTTTTCCAGTGCTTGGTTGAAGATATATTATCTCAGGGGAAAAGAAAGAGTCAGATAATTGCTCGGGGAATAAAGTGACTAGGGAAAGAGAAACAAGAGCCTTTATCAATTGGTCCCTCCTGGGTGAAGCTGTTGGTGTGGGGACCACCACTGTGTCATAAATCCCATGGTCCAAATGTGGTCCTCAGTCATCTTGGCCAAAGTTGGCCTGCAGAAGACAAAGGCTGAAAGAGAGACTTACACTTTCTTCTCGTCAGCCACGTAGACCAGGTCCAAAGTATTCTTTGCATTCCCTGGAACCAGGTGACTGGAACAAGTAACTCACAGCTTCTCAGTCTCAGTGGGCTGAAAGGATGTAGGTTTATAGGCATGGTAAGATGTTGGCTCTCCCAAACATTAATTATGAATAAACTTGTTTAGAAATATAAACTATTCCAAACTGATCCCCACTTTCCCAAAGCCAAGAAAATGTCAGAACCTTGAGTTCAGGGTGATACAGTGGGGGTGACATCCTGTGAGAAAGTCCAGCCAAACCACCATGTATGTTGTAAGGAGGTTGGCAGAGGAACAAGAGTAGGACCTGGGGGCCCAGGATGACCCTGAGACGATGCCTCTTGTCTGGTCCTCTAATTGTTTCCTCCTCTGACACCTGCTCATCACTGACCCCAGTAGAGGGTTCTTGGCAGAAAGCATTAAACAGGCTAACCCAGGGCTTCCTGCACAGTGACAGCCGCATCCTGTTGTCTTATAGGACAGGGTGTGTGACTGGGGCGGAACATTCTGCTTTGTAAGGATGCAGAGAACTCGGCTACATTTTTCACTTGACTGTAGCCAAGAGTGATTGTAAAACAAAACTAGTACACTACTCATACTCCTCTCTGGAAGACTCTGCTGAGCTCCCAGAGAAAATAAAACCTCAGGGAAGGGCCATGGCAGTGCGGGGCCACCTTTCCCCATGGTTCCGGGTCAGGGATCTGGATGCACAGGGGCTGGGGGGCTGGGATAGGGAGCTTCCAGTGGGTCCCTTTGAAAATCCAATTCTGCAAAGCAGGCCGGCCTCATCCATCACTACTCTGACGGGAACCTCTCTCCATCTCCACACCTGTGGCTGCTTCCTCCACCCACTGCCTGCACACATCAGGCTCACGTTTGCACATGCGCACACACACACTCACCCATCCTGGTTTCTCCCCAGACGTAACCCAAGGATTTCCTTTTTGGACACCAGAGTGTCCTTGCTCATCCTCTCCATTTCATTCCTCTTTATATACCCCTTGTGATTATTTTCCTCCTTTTTCCTTTATGCTGACACTTGTACCTTTTGCTTCTTTCTTTTGTTTTCCTCTCTCTTCTTTTTAAGTTTTCCAGTCACAGCAAGCTCATCACGCCAGCACCCTCATCTCTGCCCCACTCCCGCCGAGCCCTGTCCCCCGAGATGCACGCCGTCACCTCTGAGTGGATCTCGCTGACTGTGGGGGTCCCAGGCAGGCGTTCTCTGGCCCTGACCCCACCCTTGCCTCCTCTGCCAGAGGCTTCTGTCTATAACACTGACCACCTCGCCTTGTCACCAAGGGCCAGTCCCTCCCTGTCTCTCAGCCTCCCCCATTTGAGTTGGTCAGATCGTCCCACCCCACGGTCAGTAGCTTCTCCACTGGCTCTACCTTCCCCACACAAAACCTACGCCCTAGCACCTGCTTCCCAGGCCTCCCTTCACATGAATGGAGACAGTGGTGTCCACACGCCATCTTCAGGCATCCACCAAGATAGCTTCTCGCAGCTGCCACTGGGGAGCTCTGATAGTGTCATCTCCCAGCTTAGTGATGCCTTTAGCAGCCAGAGCAAGAGGCAGCCATGGCGCGAAGAGAGTGGACAATATGAGAGGAAAGCAGAGAGGGAGGCAGGCCAGAGAGGCCCTGGCGGACCCGAGATCTCTAAGAAGAGCTGCTTGAAGCCTTCAGACGTGGTCAGGTGCCTGAGTACTGAACACAGACTCTCAGATCTCAACACCCCTGAGGAGAGCCGGCCCGGCAAGCCCCTGGGTAGCGCTTTTCCAGGAAGTGAGGCTGAGCAGACAGAGCGGCATAGAGGTGGCGAGCAGGCGGGGAGGAAAGCTGCTCGGAGAGGTGGGAGCCAGGTAGGACTGCAGCATGCCGCGTGTGCACTTGGCGTCTCACTTGGCAGGGTGGGCTGCACGTCTCGCCCCGGTCCATCTACGGAGGCCAAGTGAATGCTGGTGAGACCATTTGCTTGCCTCGGGAGTAAAGAGATGGCCCCGGAGGGAATGGGGGGACATGAATTCAGGTGCCAGGGCTGGATACAGTTGGAGGGAAAGGACAGGCTATATCTGACCACTTGAGGTCATTCAGAAGTTATCTCTATTTTGAATGCCTCCTGGCCTGCTACAAGGGCCTCTGAGAAGGCAGACCTTCCTCACGTCCCATGTATGCCTTGGAGATGACCCTCGGTTTGCTTTGACTAACACAGCTGAGAACACCAGGCTTTGGTGTGGTGGTGTGGTTTGCTTTTATGTAAGATGCACTTTGTTTCCATAACCCATGGTGCTCTGCTAGTGCTCGGTTCTGTCAGGTCTTTGTCCTGTCTCGTGTTTGTGTGGGCGCGCGGGGCCTTTGTTTGCCACGCAACAAAGGTGTTTTGGTTCTGGAGAGGAGAGTGCAGGTCTCCTGGGGCCCTGACTGACATGGGGTATCCTTGAGTAGGCATGCCAGGTTTTTGGGTGAGTGTCCCATCTTCTCTCTGGGTCAGCTACAAAGAGTGCAGCATTTGGACAAAGGTAGCCTTAGGGTGTTTTGAGACCTGAAAATTTTTTTGGAGACATGAAATTAGCAACTAAACAAAACACAATTCTGATTTTGGCTATGCTGTTTACTACTGCTAAAGTCAAAGACTTAAGCAGCTCCTCTGAAGCAACCAGGTTTGAATGCAGCTCCACCTCTACTGTCTAGTGACTTGGGAGTTACTTCCCCTCTCTGAGACTCAGTTTCCTCATCTGTAAAATGGAGATGATAGCACCTATGTCAAAGAGTGGTTGAGTACAAGGGCTTATGATCCTGGGAATATGGTCAGCACTTTATAAATGGAAGTGATAGAGCCACCATCTTGGGTGATCTAGAACTGCTTCTAGAACTAAGAATATTCTTAGAACCTCCTTAGACCCAGATTGAGTTCCTGAAGATGTCTGCAAGCCATTTATTAAGTATCTAGTATGTATGATGTCCACAGTAAATAGTGCTTAACCCTTAGGCTTGCAACCTCAGTTTCCCTTTGAGGCTGTAGTTATTCCATCTATGAATAAGACCTATAGGTACCAGCCTCTGGGCAGCATATAAGGGTCATTTGTCTCTCCTCTTGAGGACCCTAAGTTCAAGGCTCCTCAAAACAAGGAGGAGCCTACAAACATAGCAATACCACCAGGGCAATAATAGAGGCATGCTTGGGGGACACAGGAGCACAGAGACTTGAGACACACTAGGCCAGACTTCCAGCTCCAGCCAAGCACATGTGGGCCCATGGGTGGGCCAGCACATCAGGAGTAGGGATCACTGAGGGTGAGCCAGCATGGGGTAGTTTATAAGAAATCAGGCTTAGTCTTTTGCTAGAAAGCCACTTAACCTCTCACGTGCAAAATAGGAGTGGAAGCAGTCCATCGCTTGTAGGGCAAGGATTCAATGAGGTAATTAATGGAAGTTGGTGCTTGGCACGTGCCAAGGCTCCATATGTGGGATCTCCCGCTGCTGTGTGGGGCCGTAGGAAAGCAGCAATACCTGGCAAAGGCTTTGCCTGGCTCTGGAACAGGTTGAGGAAAAAATAGAAGAGGTGGTAAAGTGGCTAGCTGAAAAGAATTAAACGTCTCTGACACAGGAACAATTCTATAAACGTTCTAAGTCAACCCAAGGCACCCGAGGACATCCTTATCGTCAGTGTTGAGTCATCATCCCGGCCCAATTCCAAGATCCTGTGTGTATAGGAAGTGCGCACGGTGCCGGATCTCCGAGTAAGGTTAGGGGTATATGCTTCCTGCTTCCTAAGGCAGGATAGGAGTGGAGTAGCTGGCAACACTGAAGATTATGTTGATTGGAAAGTCAGGCTTGTTGAAACTTGGTGTTCCTTTCTTGGTGGGCCTCCAGACCCCAAGTGTACCACTTCCTGTCCCCTCCCTTCCTTCTGCCCTCCTGGCACAAGCCCCTTTTCCATGGGTGTGCCCAGGCTGTGGCCTGGGGCTCGCTCCCCCTTGAGAGCTGGCATTTGTGTGAAAAGGGCTGCGCCCACACCTCCCCTTTAGCCGCCTCACTTTCCCCTCCTGTGGCTGGAGCAGGAGCTGACAACTCTGGAAACGGGGTCCTTCAGAAGAGGCTTCTGTGTCTTGGGCCCCCTTTGGGTGACAGACATGCTAAAAATGGAAAGGACTTATATGACAACTGTTCTCTGGCAGCCCCATCAGAATGACGTGACCACAGGCTGTTGCTTATTTGGAAAAATGCATTCCAGACCAGTTTGCGTATCAAGAGAACTGTCAGCCATTATGATCCTTGCTGAACTGAAGAGCTGAAACAAAAGTTCACTTTTATTATAGGTATTGGGGAGGCAGGTTGAGAATCTGACCAATAACGAGAGGGAATTTTACCTGAGAACCTTAAATGAAAAGATATTCTGAAATGTTATGATCATTTACTCTTTGAAGCATTTAGGATATTTCAGGCAGGTTGCTGCAAGAGATAGAGAGGGGTGAACATCATTAGGGCTTCCATTTAGATGTAACTTCTAGGAAGCTGTTGGGGCCAAGGGAAAGTTTCCCTTTTGTCCTTTGAAGTTTCCCTAAAAATTACTGACAAGAAGCAAAAAAATTTTTTTTTCTTTTCTTTCTTTCTTTTCTTTTTTTTTTCTTTTTTTGTGAGACAGGGTCTCACTCTGTCATCCAGGCTGGAGTGCAGTGGCACAATCTCATTGCAACGTCTGCCCCCAGGTTCAAGACTCCTTCTACCCCAGCCTCCTCGAGTAGCTGGGACTACAGGCACATGCCACTATGCCCAGGTAATTTTTGTTTTGTTTGGTAGAAACGGGGTTCCACCATGTTGGCCAGGCTGGTCTCAGACTCCTGACCTCAAGTGATCCTCCCGCCTCGGCCTCCTTGGATTACAGGCATGAGCCACCACACCCGGCCAAGAAGCAAATTAATAGGAGAAAAGGCATACAGTTTTATGTGACATGGGAGCCTTCAGAATGAAGACCCAACCCCGCAATGGGATGCAGAAGCTTATACCATCTTAAGGTTGCAGAAGAATGGGGGCTCAGAGGATGGCCAAAGACAGGTTATGGTGGTAAATCAGATTTTAAGCAGCAAGACACGTTATGGGAGGGAGAAAAGTAAGGCTTGGCTAGCAAAGGGGGTCTTGTTATTTAGATGAAAGCTCACAGGTAGCAGCCTCAGAGAGAATAGATGGTAAATGTTTCTTTTAGGCCTTTAAAGGTGTCAGACTGTCAGTTAATCTTTTCTAGATCTAGACAAGGGAAAGCCTCAGAGAAAACCTGGCTGCATCAATGCAGATTTTTCTCTATAAATACAAATCTCCTGCACAAAAGACAGCTTTGCAGAGCTACCTGTTTTTGCTGGCTCTCTGACAGCCATCCCAAAATATGTCAAAAAATAGATTTTGGAGTAAAATATTCTGATTGCCTTTAACACCTTTCCTGACAGCCTCCCCCACCCCTGCATGAGTGGATTCAGTGCTCTGACTTTGTGCTGCCACAGCCCCTGCAATGGTCTGAGTGAGTGAGCCTCTCTCAGCCCGCTTTGCTTCCCTGTGTTCCCATAAAGTATCAGTGCTCCAAGGGCAAGACCATGATACCTGATGTATGGAAGGCACTCAGTGAATATTTGTTGAATGAAAGAAAAGGCAAGCCAGACACGGTGGCTTACACCTGTAATCCCAGCACTTCGGGAGCCTGAGGCAGGCGGATCTCTTGAGGTCAGGAGTTTGAGACCAGCCAGCATAGGGAAACCCCATCTCTTCTAAAAATACAAAAATCTCTTCTAAAAAATAAAAAAAATCAGCTGGGCGTGGTGGTGCATGCCTGTAATCCCAGCTACTTGGTAGGCTGAGGTGGGAGAATCACTTGAACTCAGGAAGCAGAGATTGCAGTGAGCAGATAGGGCCACTGCACTCCAGCCTGGGTGACAGAGCAAGACCCCGTCTCAAAAAAAAAAAAAAAAGAAAGAAAGAAAAGACAAACAATGACTGACCCCAACTAAAGGAGTTTAGGATCTCCACCAGGGGAGTAAGACCTGTTCCCAAATAATTATAATGCAAATAAGGAAAGAGAGTCACAAACTACACCCCCTGGAAGATCAAGATGGGGAGAAATAATAACAAGGGAGGAAGGTGGTTGTCTGGAAACCTCAGGAAAAAAAATGCCGGGCAGGGTGTCAGAGCCCCAGCACGAGGAGGTGGTTGACTTGAGTGTTGGTAAGAAAAATTGACTGATAACAGTATAGGTTTGAGGAAGGAAAGTTTATTAGAAAGAAAGAATCCTGCAAAAGGGTGCAGCAGGGCACTCAGTGAGAGAGGACTGAGCGCACTGTGATGGATTTTCCTCAGGAGTGTTTATGGACCTTAAGGCGGAAGCTTAGGGGCAATTTGGACCATACTGGCCACATAGGTCATAAATGATTACATCTGTAGATGTTTTGGTGCCTTAATGTCAGCAAGGGTTGCACAATGAGTTTCAGCATGCCATTCCAGAGATGTGTAGAAATTCTAGTTACTTATAAATTTGGAAGGAAAGAAATCTGGGACCAGATGCCTGCTTTAAATGATAGGGAAGTCTAATTACTTCTAATTTTCCCAGATAAAGAATTTGGCCTGTTTGATGGTCCCCAGGTGGTCATTGCTCCCTTCTAAATTCCTCAGATAAGGAGTTTTTGCCTCTGGGGCCTGCTGGATGGTCACCAGGTGATTTTGCTCTCCTCAAAAAAGTAGCATTTAATATGAGCCTTAAAGAATAAGAGTTTTTCTCACAGGTGTACAACAGGAAGGTGGGACTCAAGGCAAATAGCTCAAGCAAAGGCCCAGAGGTAGGACCATGAAAGGTATGCATGGAGAATGATGCATTCCTGGT